GAATAACCGCCTCTGAAGGGAAAAGCTTGTTGATAAAAAAATTGTTTTTACCTTGTCATAAGCTGAACATTTATATTTGGGTTGTGCGCACAATTTGTTATTTAATGATGAACTTTAATTACTGATATTCAAGGTGTACAGTTTGATTTTCTTATTTCATCAAATGAATATTTTTGTGTAATGCAAATCTAAATACTACTGCAGGTGGTGGGATTTGAATTATTACTACAAACAGAGATAAGATGAATGATGGTACATGTACTCCCATTCACAAATTCACAAAATAGTCCAGTTTATAGTCTGCACTTTCCATCAGAAAATTGGCACAAAAAGCCACATATTTTGAGTAAAAACTGAAAATTTACTCAAATTTTGTCTGTTGGCTCCAAAATTAGGGTTAATTTAAAGAATATTTAGAAAGTCTGGTGGTGAAAGGTAAATGTTTTGTTTCATTCATCACCAAGCCATAATCAACTTTTTGGAAGTAGACTCCTGAATTATAAATTACATGGTTGTACATTACATGGTTGAAACATTCATTCACTTTGAATACCTAAGTTACTTTGTCATATTTCACAAAATACCCACACCCTTTTTGCTAATTTTTTTCTAAAAAATCAAGACGAATGTAGTAAGTTAGAAATTATGTCCATCTGGCATAATTAACAAATAAATTACTGCAAAATGCATAAAAATTGACATATATGTTGTGCTGAAATTTTTGAAGGAAAAATTAACAGTTAATAGCGTGAAAAACCATAAAAAACAATTTTCTAAAATATTTGGAAAATGTGAACCTCTTCATTATTGTATCAGTTAATATCTCATTAGGGTCTATAAGTCAGTGAGCCGCGGTAAATACCGATATCACAAAATTTTGTCCCAGTAGTTGCCACCAACTACATGTATCATCACAAAAATTGCAATGATTATTTATTTATAACTTTTAGTAAAGACGCAAAAGTACAAGGATCATTTGGAGGACTAATTAGTGTTTGTATTATTTGCCGTCACCTCTGTTTGAACTCTTGATATACCATATGGCTTGATTATACATGCATGTTTAATGTAACCATAAACTAAAATACTGTTTGCTGCTCTTCAAATATGAATTTCCAAATATCTACATCAAAGGTGGAAATTAAGGCATGTCCACCTGAACCAGACAGGTAGATTTTAACTGGGACTGGTAAAAATAGAAATTGGCTGTTCGTGTGGACAGGTAAATAAAGATATCAAGTTATTAGTATCTGGCCAAATGTGGTAGTCCAAATATGCTTATCTTATATCTATAAAATAAATATAATTAACCCAAACTGAAAATTTGATTTCATAGACTGGCAACATTATTTTTAATTTCACTGGCCATGCTAAATAAAAAAATAAAAAACATTGCCAGATTTCAAATAACAAAATATGGTCGCTTAAATTGATTTTTAGATTGCGAGAAAATAATTACAGAAATGCTATATATATATATATATATATATATATATATATATATATATATATGTTGACCAATGGTTAAATTGTGATCAATTTTTCTGAATCTAAATCCAGTATATATATATATATATACTTTGTCGAGCGGAGCTTATCATATGAGTGATTGTCCGTCGTCCGTGTCAATGTTTTACTTTTTCGACTTCTTCTTGAAAACTACAAGCCTGAATGCTTTGATACTTGGTGTATATGTACCTTGGGTAGACCTCTCTCAGATTTACATATATATTACATATATATGTACTACATGTGGACCACTCTCAAATTTGTTCATTTCATGATGTGATATCTTCAGTCTCTAATTTTGATGAATATTTTTTGCTAAA